AGTACACTAAAATCAGATTTCCTTTTAGGTATCAGTTCACTGGTGTACACATATCTGGCTCTGGGGATTCCGTCATTTGCATGCTCAGTCTTAAGTTTCCCCGTCATTTGTAAATTACTTTGTGGTGATGTGTTTTTTTTTTTTCTGACTGTTTTTTTTTTTGAAAGTCCATTTGATTTACCTTGTTTTATTAATTCCTTCTTCTTCTTTTTTTTTTATGTCACATGAGATTCTTAAGGTATTTGTTTCTCATTTGTTAGCAGCAATGTAGATTATGCGTGTGAGCATCGTCACGTGCATATGGACATTCCTGTATGCAGTCGCGGGTATGCCACTTTTCATTTTCATTAGTATGTGTGGAAATTTGCTCCTTCTCCACCCTCTTTCTGCAAGTTTCTTCTCCACTCCCTTGTGTTGAGGACATTCTCACTGCTTTTTACCGAATATATAAAAAGGTCCAGTATTTGAGATATATACTATTTCTATTCTGTTTCATGTAAGGATTTATTTTTGTAGTGCTGTTAGTAAGAAAATAAAATATATGTGATTCATTGAAATTATTTATTTGTCTTTTTTTAACTATTGTATTTTTGTCATTTATCTGCCTTTGCGATTTTGAACTGTCTGTAGACTCTTGTAAACAGATTGGACATTTTATTGCAGTATTTGGATAAGTTTTCTCTTCTAATGATATTGATTTTAAGAAATGTATATTTCTTCTCTCTTTTACTATTATTACTATTATTATTATTGTTATAGGTAGGGTAATTGTTATTACTATTAATGGTAGTCTTGCTATTATTATTATTATTATTATTGTTGTTATTATTATTATTATTATTATTATTATTATTATTATTATTATAATTATTATTATTGTTATTTTTATTACTATTATTATGATTATAGTTATTATTATTTTTGTAAAATGACTCAAGTGAATGCATGAGAAGAAATTAAATAGAAAAAAGCTAAAGTAAATTCATTTTTTGGAATTTTATTTTTTATTTGCAAATGCAAAACTTTAAGATATAGCTTTAACCCTTTAACTGCAAATATCAGGAAAAAAAAAACCAACAGCATCTGATTATATGATTTATTTTTCATTTAAATTTGTAGATGTTATTTTATCAATGAACAAGTAGTCATCACTGGGGGAAAGAATTTGTTTTTCTAAATAGTTAAGCAGAAAGCAAGGTGTACTTTTTATGGCCATGCAATTGTCAGTGTTTAATATTTCATTGTTGGCACAGTTTCATATACTTGCACCTTGTTTATGAAATTGGGTTTTATCATATATGATGGGGAAGTCTGCTTAATATTACCATTAACAATAGTTATAGTCCCTAACTTAGGTGTGTTCATACTACACACTATGAATAATCACATGAGCTTAGCGACAGTAAGTGTTTTTTTTTGTGAAAACATTGTAGGTTTCCGTCCACTAAGGTTTCAAGGAGGAATGGACAAGTAGGAAGCAATGCGTGCGGTGAATCATGCAACAAAAACCTTGTTGAACACATGAAGCAGTTAAAGGGTTAACATGATTTATGTTTTTATGTACTGGTTTTATTATCACTCTAAGAATGGTATTAAGTGAAAAGCACAATACATTTGTAAATATTTTCTAAATGATGATATCCTCTTAAGAGATTTGCATGATATACTGAAAGCAAAATGATTAGGTCTAGTGGCAAAAATGTCCAATAAAAAGATTATACAAAATTCTTAAAGCTTGCCCTTTTACAAAAATGAAATTTATATATGCATGCCTTTAAGTACACACAATAAAACACAACACATACAACATAGCACACACAACACATACAATACAATACATACAACACAGCACACAGATAAATATATGTATTAAATATATTCATTGTATTGCTATCCAGATGCCTGTGTGAATTGGCAAAGCAGATAGGCTTTAGTGAACAAGCTCAGGAACCATTTGAACTGGAGCATCAATTATCGACATTTAGACACGTGGTGAGTGCAGCATTTCTTCATTGAAACTTGCAATATGTTGTCATGTACATTATGGATTGCAATGAGATGTGTCTTTATCCTCAATGTGACAAGTTGGTGTAAAGTGAATTCCTTCCAGCCTCCAGACATGGCGTGCAAAGATCGTCTGGCAAAGTCCCTCATGATCACCAAGTTGAAGTTCCCTTTTCCTCACATGGTCTCTGTCTTGATGAGGGACAGAGCTTCACGTAAGCTAGAACTCATGTCGCAGGTATGTTTGTTTATCTGCAGCTGTGAAAGAACGAAAGTTATGTGCCGGTAGACTTCTATTTGCTTTGATTTACGCTTTCTTCTTGTAGTGTTGAAAGCTGTTTAGAGAACCTAGTAAAACACATTTGTGGTAGATGAATATTTTCTGCTGTATCTTTATCTTATTTATTGAAAAATATTAGTTTTGTTTGCTTTATTTAGGAAAGGCAACCCTAACCCCTTTACTGTTAGATGTGTCAGTGAAAATCAGTTTTAGGATATTATTTATAAATAGTTGTTTCTATCAAAATAACTCAGAGATGCTAGGGATGGCATGTATATAAATTGCTAATCCTATATATCACACCTGTTTACTCTTTTCCTTGATTTTTAAAAATATTCTTTTCTGTTTCACTATATTTTTATTATTATTGTTGCTAACATGCAGTGCGTGCACCCCCCCCCCCCCCCACAGATATACATATACACATATACACAGATACACGTGCATATATAAATACAGAGAGAGTATTCATACATTTATAATTACCAAATAGTATTTTACCCAAGCTATCATTGATTTCACTTTGTACCTGTTTCCTGGATTTTTTTTTATATCTATTACTGTTATTATTATTACCAAAGATTTCATGATTATTGTTATTATTAATTTGTATAATGTTCTTAACAGTGGTGCTAGTAATAAAAATAAAAAGGATAGGGGGAAGTTGTTGAATTCAGGCCTCTCTGTGACCACTGGCAGTAGTCAGGAACCTAAATCTTCTTTTTTGTGTATGCTGCTATTTGCACTGCTTTGGTTTATGCTCATGTGACTGCCTTCATGACGCTTGCTGGCCAGTCTTTTGATAATCACAGTCACCCATTCAAGTTACGATGTGATGTGAATATATATATACTTCCTATCTGGGCAGCAAACCAGATTTAATTCTATGCTCGTGATGTGAATATATATGCTTCTTGTCTAGCCAGTAAACCAGACGTAATTCTACACCTACTGTGTATCTCTTGTCCTTACAAACTGTTTTCTTGCTTTTAGGGGACAGCAGACATAATACTGGACTCGTGCACTGACTACTGGGATGGATATGACATATGTCCCTTGACAGAAAAGGATAGGTATGTGATTTAATGTTTTTTTCATGTCTGAAATTCGTATTTACACTGTTTATTGAACAGAGGTTGACAATTAGATTTTCATCAATATTGGAAAAAGAGATTTTGAAAATATTTTAGTTGAACTTTCTCTTGTTGTTAGGTTATACAGGATGAAGAAGCCAAAGGGTGGACGAGACTAGGAAATTCTCAATCGCAACTTTGTGATCTATTAGACAATGCCATACAATAATTTATGCCTAATTGGTGGTACTGGGGGAAAGGGCAGGAATTATCCTGAAGAAGTGGACTATGATACCCTAACTGCACTAGCCTTGTTCTCCAATAAAAGCAGCTGACTATGTACTATTTTCAGTGCTTTTAATTTTTCCAAACTTTTTGCATGTATTGGAAATTTTAAATTTGCTTTTTTTTTTAATAACTGCTCTCAAAAAAACATGCAAAGTTACCTGAAGTATTCTATGTTTGTCTCCAGTTGAATAGGTTGCATAATTCTGAGGAATATACAGCTTTTATTTTTTTTCTCTTTCTACAGTAGCCACAGAAAGTATAAACAGAGTTCAAAGATTATGAAAAATGAGTTAATGGTTAACTTTTCATACATTACAGGAAGAAGATTCAGTTCAAAGAATATGAAAAATGAGTTGATGGTTAACTTTTCATACATTACAGGAAAAAGATTCTAGATTTCTACCACAGAACAAGTCTCTCTGCCTACTGCACGGCCTTCTCTTACCGTCCAACCTCCTGCGTAGTAAGGGAAAACCTGAGCAGCTTTTACATGGAACTCCCCATTGATCCATCGCACCTTTACAGTGCCGCTCGCACACCCACGCCACACATTAGCACAGGTCAGCCTCTGATTTCTCTTGGGTTCTTGTTGAATTTTGAAGCTAGTTTTTACATTGTGGGTTTTTCTACCATAGTATCAATACGGTAGAGTGTTTTCCTCATTCAACCTTGTCTTTGCATATTACTGTCATTATTTTTGTTCTGATTGCTTGTGGGGATGCTGTTTAAACATCTCTCATTCAAATACATATGCTTATATGTACACTGTGAATGTGAATATGAGCATAGATATAGATATGAATATTATAAATATAAATATAGATATAAATATAAACATGAATATGAATATGGCGACAACTATATTTTTTTTCCTTCTTTTGTTTCAATTATTTTGGCAATGTATGTTTGCTTTTTTTTATGTCATTTATGTTATTTTGTCTACACAGAGGCTTTGTTCGGGGATGAAGAACACACTGAATATGAAGAAATTGATGACATTGATGATGCTTTCCGGATGCAGTGCAAGCAGATCTTCATAGGAATGGTCACCATGCAGTACCAAGCAAAGACAGACATGGTAAGAAGGAGTTGTAAAGTGGTAAATGAAAACTCATGTTATGAATACCTTGTTTTTCTTTAATTGATTATTCTTTTTATAATTAGTAGTTTTTATTTACATTTTGTTATTATTATTATTGTTATTATTATTATTATTACTATTATTATTATTATTTGTCTATTTGGAAAACTGTTCCCAGTATTTTTTTTCTATGTACAGAACTGGTTTTTTTTTTTAACTTTAAAGGACTCCAAGAACTTATTTGGTTTAGAAACCGACAGCTTTTACTCTTCCT